AAAGTGAGTGCATAAGAATAGGCTAAGTGCAAATAAATGGCAAAGAGGAAAAAGTAATTGATGAAGGTACAATTGGAGCACAAAATTGGCATTATCAACAAAATCTGAATTGCTTGTGATCTGGTATGTGCTGCTAATAATATCAAGAAAGTAAAAAGGCAAAATTTATACTAATAGTGCAGCAGCAATAGCAGGTCTTAACAAAAGTAAAAAGTCAAAGTCGAGCAAACATTGGATTAAAGAAAAGAATTATAACTTCAAGAGAAGTATTTTAGAACTACTTAGCTTAAAAGAATTAGAATTAGATTTAGTTAAAGTAAAAGGACATAGTGGTAACAAATGGAATGATAGAGCAGACAAATTAGCAAAAAAGAAGGGCAAAATAGTTAATATCGATAGAATAATAGAGGTGCCACCTTCAATTTCAAATGTTTCACTCTGCTGGAAGGATTTAGAGATTAAAAGCTCAACAAAAAAGTTTATCAAAAATGTTCTAAAACTCAAAGGCAGAGCAGAATAGAGATTTATATCATCAATTCAAAAAACAGAACCAAATCCAAAAGAAAAAGAGCATGATTGGTCAACTTTATGGCAAAGCATTAAGGGTCAAAGTAGAACAAAATGCACAAGTATGAAAAGAAATAAAAAACTAGCAATACTAATTAAGTGTGTAAATGAAAAACTACCAGTGCTCAAGACTTTGGCACAAAGATGACCAGACCTATACAAAAATGCAATTTTCATACTATGCAATAAAGATTATGAAGAGGATCAAGACTACTTGGAAACATGCAGCAAGTATGAAAAAGGATGGGAGAATACAGAAAATATGTCAATTAATTTGGCATGGACAGTACTCGCAGAAGAAACCTAGAGGAATTCAAGTAAAGAAGAGCTCAAAAAGCTTTTATAAAGAACTTTAAAAGAAGAAAAATCAGCAAACAGATCCAAAATTATTAAAGGTCTAACACAAGAAAAAACCAAAAAGTCTGTACAAGATATTACACAATCTCTAAAGGAAACCAAGAACTTCATAACAGTTTTTACAAATATAGCATAGAATGGTTTTTTTGAAAATATATAGAAAAAAATGATGTAATAGTATCACTGATTAGAAAAAACTAGTAGAAATTAACACTGCAATTAAAAAGAAAAAAATCAACAGAAAGCAAAATCTCTCAAGCAAAGAAACGCAAAAAGAAGAAAAAAATATAAATTTAGATGAACAAAACCGAGTCATAAGGGAGAAAAAAGAGAAGAACAAGGTTCAAACTTAGAAAACATGGCTTGATTCAGTTTTTAGTTTTGTAAATAGAAACATAAGACCCTTTTTTCAGGGTCTTACTAGCTAGCTTGGTATAGTTCCAGGCCAGGAATAATCATCTGGCCTATGCGGCAGACTGCTCTTGGACACTCATAGAAGTAGCTAAAAGATGTTAAACCAAAATTTAAGCCAACATTGTATAATATATATACAAGAATCTTAATAAGAAGATTGGCAAGACTGCCTTAGTTAAAAAAAAAATAAATAAATAAATAAATTTTAAATACATATATACAGTATTTAGAAAATAAAAATAAAAATACAGAGTAGTAAAGTAGATAAGTTGTCAATTCTCTAAGTAATAGGCTATAAGTTTAAAACCCATCAACAGTAAAAATTTAGACAAGCATTTATATAAACTTGTATTACAATAACTGTTTCTAATGATTAGATTAAAATATTCATAATTATAATTGCACTAGTATAACTGGCAGATTATAAGGGTATTTGTGTAACTAATTATACAAAAATATGCAAAGTAGTATCAGATGGTACAAACCTAAGATAAGTTTTTGTAATTATATAAATTTGTAAAAATTAAAAAACAAAAAGCTTATTTGGAAAGACTCAAATAGAAAAATAATATAAATATTTGATAATATTACTATAAAGTCTAGATCTAAAAAATGTATACTAATACAAAGTATTTGAACAAATATAAACATTTAGGTAAAAAGTATTACAAACTAGGTTATTATAATTCTAACCAAGAGGATCAAAGAAAAAATATTAAGTTAATCAGATATACCAATAGACTAGTTGTAATTTTATCAGACTCTTTAAATTAAAAGTTTAAAAAAAGACAAATTTATATTAAAAGTACTAAAAATATATTGTAAAGTAAATATTAAAATCTAAGTAAACTTTACAAAGATTAGTCTTATTAATAATCTATAAAGTAAGTAAGTTAGTTAACAAAAAAGTATTTTAAGTCTTATATATTTTAAAATAAATAATAGCTTGACAAATGTACAGAAAAAAGACTAAATATTAAGTTAAACAACACTTAGTTTTATAAGAACTAAGGTACTATTATCTAGATACAATATAGAGATTAGAATATTTAAATAAATAATCTTTTAGTAAACAATAGATATAATAACTAGTATAGAAATTGTAAACAGACTACTTAAACAAATATCTAAAAATTGCATATATAACTAGTTGCATATTTATTTTATATAAGTAAATATAATATATTAACTAAAACACAAATAAAAATATTAGTTACTACAAATATTAGTTTTTTTTTAAAAAAAAAATTTTTTTCTTTTACAGTAATATTAAGATAAATACTTTCAATCTAAAATTATATTAATAGTATATTTTAGCTAATAGTTGCATTACAACTATAAAAAACAATTATAAAAAAATATATAACTAACTATTTGTATAACTTTAATTATTATCTAATTTAAGTAGTCTATTTAAAGATTTTATAATAGTTATCATATTTAGAACCTATTTGTAAATTTTTTTTAAATATTCTAATTCTTATATCTACTTATCTATCTAATCTACTTTTTTTTTTTTTCCTCTTTGACTTTGGCAGTCTTGCTGATTGCTCTTTATTAAGACATCATGTTTTTCATATGAACATTTTTAAACTTAACATATTGAGTCAACATTAAAGGTCAAAACCAGTTAACAGAATTCGGGTATAAATTTAGGTTAACACAGTTTTAATAGTAAATCAGTTTTATAATATCTTAATTCAGTTGCAAAACTTTGACAACCCGGTTTTTAAATTTAAATCTGGTTTTATTTTATCCAAGTTCTGATATGTACTGTATTTATTATGAATCATTATAAATTAAAGACTAAATAACTAGTATAAAATAATTAAAAACTTAGTATTTCAAAATTATGTAATTATCGAATGATATAATACTATATTATCATTAATTCATTATTCTAAATATTAATACATGAGTGTATAATAACAGAATGTTTGATTTATATTTTAATAAGCGTGTAGTGATAAATTGTATATTTTATCTTTTTTAATAGAAAAATAAATTTGATTTTTTTTTAATTTTGTAATTTTTGAAATAATGAACTGTTCTGAATCTCTAAATTTATCTTTAGATAGTCAACCTTCTGATTCCTCTCTTACTAATAATATAGAAACAAAAAAAAGAAAAAAAACTCTCAAACAGCTATGAACAAATCAAAGTCACACAAATTATTTTTTTCAGGAAGATGAAGAGAATTCACAAATCGTTTATTGCAAAATTTGTATTAAGAATAGTAGTAAAAAGCCTTATTCTTATACAAAAAAAGGTAGAAATACTACAAATTTAATTAGTCATCTATGGGATAAGCATAGTATTACTAAAATTAATCATCAGAAATATTTGAATGCCAATAATGAAGTAATATAATTTATTCTTATAAATTAAAAATATTAAATCTCTTATATTAATTTTTTTATCAAATATATTAGCCAAAAAACTAATCTATTGAAATGCATGATATAACACATTGTTTACCTGAAAAACAAGAGCTTGTAATTTGTAAATTGATTACTTTTATTATCAAATTCATTGAACCATTATATATTTTGGAGGATGAATCATTTCAAAACTTGATGAAAAGCTGTGTACCTAGATATAAACTTCTTTGTATAAAAATAATCAAAGACAAAATTTATAATGCATATCAATTAAGTAAAGATTAACTAAAAACTATGTTGAGCACAAATGTAGAAATGATTCATTTAACAACAGATTTGTGGACCACGAAATCACAGCATGGATATCTTGGAATAACTGGTACTTGGTTAACCCCTGATTTTGAATTTTGTAAAGTTCTTTTAAAATGTGAACATTTGTCATATTCACATTCGAGAGAAGTAATTAGCCAAGAATTATATAAAGTTATTCAAAAATGGAATTTACAAAGTTCAGTTTTTACTATAGTAACAGATAATGGAGCAAACATGATTCGTGGAATAAATTTGCTTTCAAAAAATTATTTTTTATCTATTATTAGACAGCTGTGTGTAGCACATACATTACAACTTTCTGTACAAGAAGGGCTCAAGCAATGCAAAGACTTCCATCGACGAATAAAAAATTTACAAGCCTTTTTCAACTTTCAAAACAAGCAGAAAGGCTCCGATTTGCTCAAAATGAACTTGATTCATCATTTCAACTAGATAAAAATTTAAATCCATTGGATGTCTTAAATGATACTAGGACACGATGGAGTTCTATATACTATGCATAGAAACATGTTTATAAACTTCATAATGCTATGCAGCATGTTTCAAATTCCTTATTGCTAAGTTCTGAACATTTAATACAAAAAGAAGGTGAAAAGTTAGAACAATTATGTCTTACTTTGGACGAAAAACAGTAAGTTTGATAATTGATATAATTTAAAATACAATTTATTAATATATATATAAGGAAATCTCTTAAAGATATTAATCTACATACTGTATTCTTAAAAAAAACAATCCTAACTTTATCTTGATTTTAAAAATTTTGTATAAAATTATTATTGATAAACTAGTTTGTATTATTATTACTAATACATATATACATATTAACTTTATTTATTTTTAGATTTCTTTATAATATTATAAATATGTTAGCCCCTTTTGAAAAAATTACACACTGAATTTCTGGTGCAAATTATTCTACATTTAGTATGATTCATCTATATATAGAAATACTTAAAAGATCATTTGCACCTCGATTGGATCATGGAGAAACAAAACAATTATATCTTGATTTAGTTTATGGATATGCATTTGATGATAATAGTACTGATCATAGTTCTAGTTCTATTAGTGATGATAACAGTATACCAAGTGGCGGAGCTTATCAATGTTGGCAATATGCTCATAAGCAATTCTGTCAACATATGAAAAAAAGAAAAGAAAAAAACCAAATAAGAGTTAAAAAAAAAATCAATTAAAACGAAAAAAATCACAAACCAATAATTTAGATGTTAATATTATTGAATGCTTACCTTCTGTCAATCCTGAAGGTTTATTACAAAAAATTTATGCTGCTATTTTTTTGTCTTTAGATGAGCTTTGGACTATACCTTCAGATTTGGCTTTGCTTGCATCTATTCTTGATCCATAGTTTAAAACTTTTTAATGGGCACCAGATCAATTAGGATATGCAAAAATGTTACTTGAATGGTCTTATACTGAAATGAAAATAGCATTAGATTTATTAGATTTAAATAATTTTTCAGGTGAATTAGCAAGCAGTTCAAAGACTAATAATGACGATGATGATTTTTTTGATCAATTAAAAACAACACCTCGACAAGCATTAGAATTAATTGAATTAGATGAAGTAACACATTATTTAGCAATGACAAGTATTGAACTTAATGAAGATCTATTAGAATGGTGGCAGTTACATAAAACTGGATTGCTGATTCTTGCACAGCTAGCCAGAAAATATCTTTCAATTTTAGCTTCTTCAGTTCCATCTGAAAGATTATTTTCTGATGCAGGCAATCTTATTACATCAAAGAGAACACGATTAGCACCAGATATGATAAATAAGTTTTTATTTTTAAAGAGAAATAGTAAGTATATTGAAATATTTGCATTACAATAATGATATAATATGAAACCCAACCTTGCATACACAATCATTTTGCTTATGTTTTAATTCATTAACATGCTTAAATTGTTTTTGCTAATAAATTTTATTATTTGTTTGCAAAGTCACTATTCATAATCGTATATAAATATATATGTTGATAATTCAGCATTGTAATAAATTTTTGTCTAACGCAAATTTAAAAAATCAAAGCCACAAAATTGGTACATATCTTGGATAAATTCTTAAATTAAGTGTTTACGATCTTTTATTAGAAGTGATTTTTTTGTAATATTTAAATTTTTTTATTTAAGATTAAATTAACAATTAGATAAGACAAATTACTGTTCTTTAAATGACTGTCAAATTTTACGTAACATAGTAAATTATTTTGGCCAATCAGAGTTCTTGTCGATTAACCAATTACATATTACAATATTATGTCACACAACCTGGTTATAATTCAGTTTAAATTTCACCCAGTTTAACTTAAATAATAACTAATTTTATATTATATGCAAATTTAATTCAGTTTTATAAATTTACAACTGGTTCCAATCTCTAGTTAACATCTCACAGTTACTTTTATGAGCACTTACAAGTGATCTGCCTACACTAGTTGCCTAATTTTCTAAGAAAAAAAGAGGATCTGAAGGTGCATCTGACCACTGCTCTACAATAAGATATTACCAATCTGATAATATCTTCTCATAGAGAAGTGAAAGAAAACAAAAAAAAACTTATTATATAACAAAAAAAAGAGAAAAAACACAAAGATATAGGGGATAAAGATAAAAGATACAAAATAAGAAATAAAAGAAGAAAGAGGAAAATCAAAAGAAAAAAAAAAAATATATGCAACTTTCACTATATGACTATTAGATGGTCACAATTATAAGCCTGTGTCAGGTTTTAAAAATTATAAACTATACTAAATAAAAATAACTCTACTATTTTTCTATCTACTAGAATATTTAACAAAAACCATATAGGATAAAACTTCAACTTGAATGTAAAGAGTTGGCATCAGATACTAATTAGTTCAGAAACAGTATTTCACAGGGTTTTAGTAGTTTGAGACATATGTATGAGTTGTGTTTGTATTGCTGTATTGTTTACACAATCCTGATTAGAAAGTAAATACTGTTAACTGTTTTGGTATTTTATATGTCAATCTTTTGAAAGGGGTAAACTGAATCACCCACTTTTTACAAAATTTTCCTCAAAGAAAAGTGAAGGTATAAAGTGAACCAAACTATAGCTTTTGTGAGTGCTTAACCCTTCTGGGTGTTCCTTGTAAGTTTTATAGTTGTATAGAAGTAATATATCTAATACTGTTGTTTACTTTATAAAAGACTTTTGGTTTTCACCAACCACTTCTTCTATGGTTTCAGAGCTCTTTTAAACTGTTATCACAAAGTGATAGCTTCTTTTTCAACTCTATTTTAATGCCCACTATGCATGCCTAGTACTTTAGAGAAGTTTTCATAGAGTTTAATATATTAACTATATCAATTTTCCATAATTCAGCATTTTAAAAAGTTTGGTCCAGATGATTATCAAAAAGAGTGTTTATCTAATCTACTAACTGCTTTAGTTATTATTAATGCAAATATATCATGATTATAAAGTTTTTAAAACAATTAACTTATATAAGAAAATTTTAATTTTGTATTAAACTTATCAAAGCCTTTTGTATCTTATACTTATAACTGATTTGGTACTATTATAACTAAGATCAATACTTGTAATTAGAATTAATTATTTTTTTTCTTTTAAAAAAAGGTTTATTTTCTATTGCTTTTATTAATTAGTTAATTATACATATATATAAGATAATAAAGAAGAAACTATACCAAAAAAGATAAAAAATAAGAGCTACTTTACTTTTAATCTATTCTTTACTAAAATAGTTAATAATTTCTAGTCTTTGATAAGCTAATAAAAAGAAGATTGTCTATGCATAATATAATATTATATCTTTTTATTTAGTAATGAACATATAATTGATATAGTTTTAACTAATATTAATAGTTGTATCAAAGATGAAACTTGAATAGCTAATTCATGTTATATTGTTTTAAAAGTAAGCCAGATTTTTTATATATTGCAGAAATAATATTGTGGTAAATAAAAGAAGCATATTTATGTTTGTATTATTATTTCAAATAGTGCTAAAGTATTATTGATTATTTTTCTAGTAATATTTGTTTGTTAATATAATTGTAATTAAAGCTTATATAAATTTTTTTGTATCATAGCAGCATATTTCTAATTTGTTTACAGTTTCAAGTACTGTAATATTGCAAAATCTAAATTGTTTTAAAGATATATTAGAAAATATATGATAGTTTCTGATATATTATAACATCTTAAGCAAAGATAATTTGAATATTTTGTATTAATTTTTTAATAAAGAAGAAGATGAATAAATAGTTCTTCAGAAATTAGTTTGATTTTAAAATTTTTTAGTACTAAAGAAGTTGAATTAGTTATTAATATCAGAGGTTTTTCTTTATATAATACATATTGTAAAGTTAGTAACTAATTAATATTATTTTAAAAAATATGCTATAATAAGATTTATTGTTGATTGAACTATGTTAGATAGTTTGTAATTTGATATACTTGTTTTAGTATAGTTTTTACCAAATAGGTGCAAGAGTTTTTAAAAAGTTTTAAGACAAAATGATTATATAGAAACTTTTAAAGTACGGAGTCTAATAGAAAGATAATACTTAGATATAAAAGTTTTGTTATTCAAAGTACTTTGTATATAATTTTGCCAATAAAAATATTTAATATTTTATTAAAGAAGAAGTATAGTGACCTAGTGAAGTAGTTAAATTGTTAACCTCCCAAGTGGTAGATTAGGTGTTCAAATTTTATCAATGATAAAAATTTGAATAATTACCTATGTAATATTTATATTATAGTAGCTGTTACTAATTATTGAATTAGGATACCTGTAATGATAGTTGCACTAGTATAACTAGCAGATCATGAGGCATCTGTATAAGTATAGCATTACACAAAAGAATGCAAACTAATAAATCAGACAGTGCAAACACTAGATAAGTCCTTGTAGTCATGTAAATCTGTTAAAATTGGGTAACAAGAAGTTCATTTGGAAAGACCCAAGTAGAGAGGTAGCTGGATCTTTGATAGTTCTACTGTAAAGGCTAGCTTGAAAAAATAAATATCAAGGTCATAGTATCCAGTTATAGTAGCTAAACAAACAAAAAACTCTGAGTTAAAAGTCTTGAGAATACTACTAACCAGACTGCAATCTAATATACCAATAAACTAGTAGTAGTTCTACACAGGCTATCTGGATTAGAAGTTTGGTAAAAAGGCAGATGAAAAGGCAAAGGTATACTAAATTACCAGGGTTATGCTATGAAGTAGATGCTGAAATCTAAGTAAACTCTACAAGTGCATAGTGGTTTAATGGTTAAACTCTAATCACAAGTATTGGTTCTGCCATAATAATACCTAGATCAACTATAAAAATAAATACAAAAGGCTCTGGGAGGTTTATCTCAAGGATAAATTAGTTCTAAAATTAAGATAATGATTTGGGTATCTGTGTATAACCTAGTGAGTTAATATAGATTACAGGTTTAGAGAGTTTAAAGTAGAACATTTAAGCAGGAGTGTTAGATACAGCAATTGATAGAGAACCTTTGGGCAAACTCCTTAAATAAGTAATATAGAAAAGTTATATGTATAGCCAATTGTACACTCTTTTGTAATAGTTTATTAAACCACAATACCAATAAGTAATTAATAAAAATCAAATAACTAAAGAGGTTATCTTAATATCAAAAAAAAAATTTTATTAAAGAAATCTTGTTAGGTTTAACTAATTTTAAAAGTATATAAATTTAAGAATAAAAATATATTAAAAATAGAAGCTTAGTTCACTCATAATGCTTATTAATCTATTCAGAAGATTCTGGCATATAATTAATAATAAATAAAGATAAAAATAGAAAATAAATATAAATTATTACAAATTAAATTTAATCATTAATGCATATATTAATCACATTATTGATAAGCAAAATTGCACTATAGGGTGAAGTAAATAAGTTATAATAATACTTATTTATCTATGTTATATTTGCTAAATTAATCCTAATTATAATTAATAGCTGATAAACTAAATATAACTAAATTAATTATAGTAATTAGTATGTAATTAAGAAAAAACTTAGAAAAATAATAAAAAAGAAAAATTACAGAGAAATTATAATATTGTTACATTTTTTCTTTCTTAAAATTTGATGTTCTCATTAATTCAAATTTCTTAAGTTTTTTAAAAGCATTTTTTAAATTTTTAACAGGTTTTTAAATAGTATTATATAAAAGATAACCTAACTATTTAACTAAATATTGTGATTTGTTACAAATTAATCATTTATTCAAAATTTGTTCAACTTTATATTCAGTTTTATTAGATTCAGAAATGATAATAAGTTAAGATAAAGCTTTATAGATATATTTTTCATATTCTTGATAAGGCTTTAATATAGAAACATATATTTCTAATCTAATAACTAATAAAAATATAAATATATATATATTTTAAGTTAAAGTTCTTATCTTTAAAAAATAATATTTTTATTTAAATTTTTGTAAAACATAAATGCCTTCAAAGGCTTCTTTATATTAAAGGTTGCAACTAGTTATATATGCACTTTTGGTATTTAATTTAAGTAGTTTGCCTATGTATTACTATATAAGTTTTATACTAGATATTATATCTGTAAGCTAACTACAAGTTTTGTCTATTTATGTTTTCTGCATATACAATTATCTTGTATTACAAAAAAATCTTTAGAATATTATCTATCTAAGTTTCTAATACTTATTGATATTCTTAAGACTATTTTATTTTTGACAAAAGATTTACTAAAGTTATATTTTACATATAGCTAATTTAGTTTTATGCAATATGCTATAATTATATAACACTTGTAGTTACAAAAGTTATCTGTTTAACTACTATATTATATTATTTCTATTCTTGTAAAGTTTACTATGATTCTAGTACTTATTTTTCTAATATTTTTTTTATTATTCTCTATTAACTACTACTTAGAACTAATAGATTCTAACTAAACTACCAATTTAAATAGCCTAATATAATATACTTTTGTATTCTTTTTCTCTAATATAATTTGATAGCATGGTTGGTTAAGCATAACAGATAATCAAATAATTGGTTATTAATTATTGATTATCAGGTAATATAATCAGCAAAAATATCAAAGAT